CGCTGAGGGAACTGGGATTGTTTAGTCTCCAGAAGAGAAGAATGAGGGGGGATTTGATAGCAGCCTTCAACTACCTGAAGGGGGGTTCCAAAGAGGATGGAGCTCGGCTGTTCTCAGTGGTGGCAGATGACAGAAGATATCAGGAAAAACTATTTCACTAAGGAGGGTGGTGAAACACTGGAATGCGTTACCTAGGGAGGTGGTGGAGTCTCCTTCCTTGGAGGTTTTTAAGGCCCGGCTTGACAAAGCCCTGGCTGGGATGATTTAGCTGGGAATTGGTCCTGCTTTGAGCAGGGGGTTGGACTAGATGACCTCTTGAGGTCCCTTCCAACTCTGATATTCTATGATTCTATGGTATAGTATTGCCACTCTTCTGCACTGCTGCTGGCAGGGTGCTGTCTTCAGATCTGGGTATCCGGCTAACAGCCACCACTCTCCAGCCATCCAGTCCTGAAGGCAGCACAGAAGTAAGGGGGCAATACTGTGACCTGCCCCTAACATAACCTTGTGACCCCCTGCAATTCCCTTTTGGGTCAGGACCCCCAATTTGAGAAATGCTCATCTTCCCCGTGAAATCTGTATAGTATACGGTAAAAGCACACACAAGACCAGATTTCATGGGGGGAGACCAGATTTCACAGTCTTTGACGCCTTTTTCATGGCTGTGAATTTGGTGGGGCCACCAACCTCTGTGCGCCAATAGAACCAACTTAATTCTCTCCCTGCAGGTTCAACAGCTGGTAACAGGGTGGGCTGCTTTAAGTGAACATTGCCTGCTTGTTTCAAACTTACAGAGCTCTTCTTCTCTAGACTGCTGGATTGAGGCCAGGCCTGGTCAGTAGTGATTTGAAAACTATTACTGTCCAATTGCTGACCTACCTGAAATGAATTTAGTCTGTCTAGGTCAGGGGTGGGCAAACGTTTTGGCCCTAGGGCCACATCTGCATATGGAAATTGTATGGTGGGCCATGAATGCTCAGGAAATTGGGGTTTGGGGTTATGGGGAGGGGTGTGGGCTCTGGCTGGGGGTGGAGGCTCTGGGGTGGGGCCAGAAATGAGGAGTTCAGGTGCGGGAGGGGGATCCAGGCTGGGGTAGGGGGTTGGAGTGAGGGAAGGGGTCAGGGGTGTAGGCTCCAGGCGGTGATTACCTCAAGCAGCTCCCAGAAGCAGGGGCATGTCCCCTCTCCGGCTCCTACACGGAGGCGCAGCCAGGTGGCTCAGCACGCTGCCCCGTCCGCAGGCTCCACACCTGCAGCTCCTATTGGCCATGGTTCCTGGAGCAGGGCAAGCCCCAGACCCTGTTTCCCAGTGGGAGCATGAGGGATGGATTAAAATGTCTGGAGGGCTGGATGCGGCCCCCGGGCCGTAGTTTGCCCACTCCCGGTCTAGGTCCTAGGGAAGTCAAGGAAAAGAGGGCCAACCTTATTGTAGTGTTGTTCAGTGAGACAAAATTAATTATTCATTTGGGTTATGTGCTTGATTTTTGTTTTTTAGCTAGGAAAATATAAACATTTTTCAAAGGGAGGTCCAGTCCTTCCCAAGAGAACAGACTTTCCCATTCCCGCCTATTTATTACCCCAGTGTCATTTGTCATAGATTGTCTGCTGAGGAGGGTAGATGCAACTGCTTCTGGTACCTATCAGCACTGCTCAAGAATGACCTGAGATGCTTCCTCCGCACAGGAGCTGACTTTGTAGTGCTCTGTCTACTTCAGGAAAACCAGACATTTGGGTACCATGTTTAGTACTCAGAGCTGTGATCTCCCCCATGGAAGTGCATAGTGATACCACAGGATTGGTCAATCCATTTTTAAGAGTAAATATCAGAGCAAAATTGCTACACCTTTACCACTTGAATAGCATGTCCACAGCACCTTATGTGCACCTGTGTATTGGGTTGTCACACTGGGGTTCTGCAGAGTCTCCTTTCCAATGCTTACTCCACTCCATATAGAACTTGCGGTGGTTTTACTGCATTTTAGGGAGGGATAACATTTTAGTCCTTCTTTGTTTGTTGAGGCGATGGTGGGTGCAAAATTTCAGCTTCCCTTTATGGAACTGGAAGATGTAAATTAACTTTGTGCCACCAATGTTCCACTTTTCTGGCATGTTTTCTAGCTCTGGCTGAATTTGGAGTGGATGGGTTAAGATATTTTAAGGATTGAGATGTTTTAAAATGCACCTCTAAAAACGTTCAGAAGCCATGTTTGTCCATTTGCTTTGCAAAGCAACATCACCGTTGATCAGAGACTGATAGCATAAGCTTTTCTGCAGTCTCAGCCTTTGGGGAGAACTGCAACAAAAGGTGCTAAATTTATAGTTGCAAACATTTTTCCACATTTTCTCAGCTGTAACAGGGGCACTGGGGCGCCTCATCCCCTTTTCAGTTGGCTTTGTTATTAATGAGTACAAGATATTCTCACTGCATACATATCAAAGCTGTTGGCATTAACAGAGCTTATTATATGTGCACATTGAGGGAAATATACTTTGAAGTTTCAAACTTTGATGATTGACCATGAAGCAGACTTCGAATTGTTTGTCTTTTGTCTGCTGTTGATGTTGGAGCAGGCTGAGATTGGAAGTCTTTGAGAAGTTTGCCACCGCCCCAGTGCATATCCATAAAAGTAAGCAGAGACCTCCATTTGATTGCATAACTCCATGCTTGTGTAGTAGACACTAGAAGTCCAAGCACTTTTTGAAGAATTTCTCCCAGAGCATTTTCAACCTCCCTCCCAATCTTTCATAAGCAAGTAAAGGAAATCTTCTTGGGAAGAAATAGTGGAAATTTACATGAGTCTGCAGAGAGATTTGGAAGACTTCATTGTATGGTGTATGTAATCCAGTGAACCCTTTTCCTTTTAAATTCAGACTTGGGGAAGAAGCAGCTTTTACTGAACTATTCATAGTTTTATCAGAAAGCTCAGTGGACCTTTGTACTCATGCTTTCTTTAAACGACTCTGCTGACCTGTCCTCTTCCTTCCATTTTACCACTTGAGTCCTGTTATCCCTCCCTTGTTTTCTTTTGCTCTCCATTTTTCCTGCATGATTTTCCTCTTAACCTTAGCACTGGTTTCTATACTCCCTTCTCTCTCTGCCATTCTTTCCTTTTGTTTCCCTTCTGTTCTCTCCAGTCAGTCTTGTTTTTCTTCTTTCTCTGCATCCCAACCTCAGTTATTCTTTCCTCTCTGCTCTTTGCTCCTTTCTTTCCTCCTCTGTTTCTCTTGTTCCTCTCCTCTGTTCCCTTGCCTTGATCGCTCTACTTCTCTGTTACTGCTTTTTTTTTCTTTTGAAAGACCTCACTATTTCTGTGATAAATTGGACCCTTCAGAAAGTCCCCTTCTCTGAAGGGTAAGGTTTCCAGAAGTCACTGACTGCTCCAGAGCGGAAGTATGGTCTGGTCCTAGCTCAAGATTCCTACTCGACAATTGATCTCCCAGATCTAAAAAATTTGCAGTGTCAGAGCAGTGAAAGCAACCATCCTTTTTATCCCTTTTGTTTTTTGTATGGGTTTTCGCAATGTGTTTCTACACTGCAAGCAAATAGTATCAAGATCACACATCTATTATGCAACCTTATACTTTATAGTATATATACATGAGGATAATCCTTAGGCTTCTCTTTTCCCTCCAAGCCCTCTCCCCCACAAAATTCATTCTATTCTATGTTGCATTTTTCTTGTAGTCATCAGAACCTGTAGAAAGTATATTCCAAATTTGTCAATGACTGAAAAGCGAACCTTTTATTGGTAGAGCAGTTTTTTAGTCAAAAGAATGAATTTAGAAACAGAATTGTGTTTGGTGAATGAGTGACGGGCAAATAATACATGTCTTTTGATTTACAATCCTGTACAGGTGATCCGGAAAGGCTGGCTCACCATCAACAATATCGGCATCATGAAAGGGGGGTCCAAGGAATACTGGTTTGTTCTGACAGCAGAAAGCTTGTCCTGGTATAAAGATGATGAGGTAAAGACACAGTTCCTTTGCAGACATCAGTCACTCTGATATTCATTCACAGCTTCTAATGTTAAGATTTTAACTTTGTTTATACTGAACTTGCATTTAGTATGTATTTTCTCTTGTAATCTAATTTAGCACTTTCTTAGAGTGATCCCCGCTCTTGCAGTTCTCAATATTTCTTCTGCTTTAAGATCCTACTGAAATTTCTCTACAAACTTTAGGAACACTAATTATTTACTCTAGATCTTTAACACTTACTTCTTTTAAAATAGTCAAGATAAGAGAATATATTAGACTTTTCTGGTTGCTATTAGCTTGGATTTCATTACAGTTAATATGTAAGTTAGTAATAAAGTGTCAAGTTGTTTTTCCCATCATCATCATTTCATCCTGGAGTTTCTTTGCAGACACTGGGAACAGTGCAGTATTACCAGTCATTCTTGTCTGTGGCTTGTTCTTCCATCAAGCCCAGCCTGGTCACATCAATGCATATGATGTCCTGCCATCTAGTTTGTTGTCCGCTTCTAGGCTGCGGTAACCTTGGTTGTTTGCTTTTTCTTATGATTGTTATTCCCATAAGCAATTAAAATTAGATATATTTTGTAATTACAGCTGGGCTTTTGCCTAATGTTATGAAAGATCTAAAATGAAGTGGAAACATTTCTAGTAGTGTTAACTTGAGTTTTGAATGTGCGGTATTGATGATCAGATAAAGGTACCTTGGTAAGGAATACAATTGTTAATATGAATGAATTTGTAGTTAACAAGCAAGAGCTAAAGAAGGACATTCCTGTTGTCAGAGGCTACCGGTGTGGTGCTTCTGCTTTCTCCTGTTGATATCACTAGGCTGCGTGCTTGTGTTCCCTCTGTGTGCTGCCCCAGCTCTGCGCAGATAGCTGACACAGCAGACCCGACGAGAACCCCCAATAACCACAGAGTCTACTAAGATACAAAGGCACCTCGGCCAGGTTTATTGCGATCTCGGACACAGTTGCAGTTCCCCGTAGATTACTTAGTCTACCGGGCATACTACTAATAGATGCCTCTTGGCAAGGACCTGGCTCAGTGGCGGGACTTTCCACTGCCCCCGTGGCCGGACAAAGACACCACCCCAGGG